GTGTGTGTGTGTGTGTGTGTGTGTGTGTGTGTGTGTGTGTGTGTGTGCGCGCTAGTCAGATACAAAAATAAACAAATAAATAAACTGGTCGCATCGTTAGTGCTTGCTACTCGGCGTACTTGCTTATTTGCTTGGTTATTTCATCTAAATAAAATCTAAGATTTCAATGTCTGTGAACTAGCGTAAAACTTGGGTCGGATTGATAGATTATCTTTTTAACAAGTCTAGTAGTATTTTTAACTACAAAATAAATAAATAACGTTGTATCCTTGTACTCTAGTACGTGTCTTCTTTCTTCGTAGGTACGTGTCTTCGTGTTTTGTTTTTTAAAGAAACCTACTTTGAATTTACAACTTCAGGATAATTTAAAAACGGTTTTCATGGCAATAAAAGTTTGTCCCCGATATTCGCGATATCCGACCGAACGTGACGGTTTTGTTACCACATTTCGATGGGTCCTAAATATACGGGTCAAACTAACAATTTCATCATTTTCCCTTTTTTGTGGGAAATGCTTCTTTTCATTATAATCTATAAGTAGCGTTAAAACAAAATCAAACATATTTAAGGAAACCTCGAAATACAAGGAAATCCTGAAAATATACCAGATTGAAAGTTTGGAAACCTCTCCTGTAAAATTGTGATTTTGCGCTTTGGCCCTTATACATTGGACCCATCGATTTACAAAAATAGTTGTACCAATATTTTCTTTGTTTCAAAAATAGTAGTACTTCTATGCAGGTATGTGCGTCAACTTTCGTATTTCCGGCGGTGTGAACAAACTTCCGGCTGTGTCGGACCTTGTTAAAACTTACTAATCAAATTATATGTTAAAAAAATTTCGAATGAAAGCCAGATTTTTAGTAATAAATTAGTGCCCATACCAGTAACATTCTAAAAAGCTGAATTGTCAATACATTAATTTGAATTGAAATAGGTAGCAGAATGTTATCCATTTTGTTGCTGTCCTGATTAAAAGCTAACAAATGGCCCAAATTCCAAAGTTAAATTAAAATCGACGGCATAAACTTGGGTTTACATAGGTCAATACAAAACAATATTATATTAAATATTATTGTTTTTATTATAGAGTAGATATAATAATTAGTTTCGTAAATATAATTAAGGATGAAGATTTTCATTATCAACCGTTTCGGGACAGGTTTTGTTCATGTGCCCTTCCCTATCAATACCTTGCTTATACGGGAAGGGCATTATTACCTGCGCAAGCAAGACCGCACAAAGACCTTATTCGGCCAGGTCCTGGCCCCAGATTAGCCCGTTCAGACAAACTTCATCCGGTGCTCAAAAGTGCCTTAGGGCCTGCCTAGGGGTGCCTAGGGCGACCATTTTGGGACAATGATTTGACATTGATTGTAGCGTTTTTAACACAAAAAGCGCTACACGCATTATTCTTAGCTGTAGGGTAACAAAACGTAAATCAAGTAGATTATGTAGATAAGCAGTCTAATTATGTCGTTAAGTAAATCCATCTTTACACATTGGTTACCGTTTTTGTACGTTAACAACTGAAGGCAATAAATAGTGCGATAAGGAAACTATCAAGAACAACTCACTTTGGAACACGTGACATTTTTTCTAACTATTCGATTACACAACATGTTTTATATCACGAATAAATCAAACAGCCAATTATTTCGATTTACTTTACACGTATGTACTATAATACTGGAGTACAACTCGATGATGGCTTAGATAGAAAAGACATAAGCAAGCCTTTTTTTTTGCGATTGAGTGATCGACTGTCCTAATCCCCATGAGGTCATGGACCTGTTTAATTTCCAAGTTACTTACATTTGAGGATGTTTAGTAGCAGTATCTCTCGCTAGAGCCTAGTTTGACTATCTTAGTAATGTAATCGAGTAGCAAGTAATTTAGTATCTCAACGTGTCTGAACAACTGACTTTTAGTCGAATACCTTCATCCATTTCATCCATTCTTCCTATCTATTCTTATATATTAGGTCCATTTTTTTATTTAGTAACGCCCCCTACCATGCTGCAGTGCATTTTGATTCAACCGCTAAACAAGTGCGAACCTGTTGATTTTAGTTGAGTTCATTAGCTATCGCAATTTTCCGCCATTCTCAAAGTGTGCTTTAGGAGCTTCCAATGCTATGTCCTTGAGAAGAGAATTAGTAACTCCTTGTTCGTCTCTTCTCTGAATCCATTGTCGAACCCATAGTTTTTTTGTCAAACAAATTTCTTCGATAAGGGCGAAGTTAAACATCGCGATAAAAGCTGCATGGCGGCAGCTATTTTTAACGAAAAAACACTTACATGGCAGCCATATTAAAAAATGGCGAAAAGAAATTTTTGACCCCAAATTATGATTAAGGACTCCTAGAGACCCTCGCATGCCAATATTGAGCCGGATCGAAGCAAGTTTTTCTTCGGCCTCCATTTTGAAATCGCCATCTTGAATTTCTTTTTACCCAGGCAGTTAACCAGTGTTACCCTCTATGACATTCCTTCGAGCACCTCCTACGTATCTCTAATAGTTTCCGTGATAGGAGGCTTAGAAATTTGTATGGCGGCCATCTTGTTTATTTGAATTTCGAACATTTTTTACTTCCCGCGGAAATTGACCAGGGTGTATCTCATAAAAATACTCAAAAATCCCCCCATGTATTATAGTTTTTGCAGGCCGTTGATCACTTATTTACATTTTCCACATTCAGGTCTTCTCATATTTGATTCTTTGCTTTGGAGCCTATCCGCGTACAACGGTATAAATATATTTTTTCCACCATATCGGGAAGTACGCGTTCTATTTTTTTTACAATTATGACCTCGTTTAAAATAAGACCGTGGAGGTTATATTAAAAATCTGTGGTTTTATAAAAAGTGCTATTGTAAATAAAACCACTTATCTACCGTTGTTTTAATTATTTTTACAAAAGATTTTTTGTAATCATGTGATCTGAGCTTGTTACGTGCCTTTAGAATCGTAGTTTGAAATAAATATAACACTTTTTTATGGAGTGTTTCTGTAGTAAATTTAGAATATGTCATTGTAAAAGTAAATAACATTTAAATATTAACGCAAAAAGTTGCCTGCTAGTTACATCGTATAGTCTTGGTTTGTTGTTTGGAGGCATCGCAGTTCTACAACAGACCGCCGGACCGCAATGCGGTATTTTTGTTTGAAGGCAGACTAAGCTGCTGCCTACTTTGATCAGGCTCGCACTGTTCAGTATCCTGAAAAGTAGTGTCATAAATTAGCCAGAGTCTAGAAATGTTCAATGTCTTAAAATGTTTATTGTCACAAAGTGTCCTAAACGGCACATTGTCTTAAGATGTAGGTACATTGTCCTAAAATGTCCAGAGTCCTAAAATATCTAGTAGCTTATGACTATATTATGACTTTTAGCGATCCAGACCCCTTAATGCCCAGTGTCCTGAAATGTACATGTGCTATAATGTCCACAGTCCTAAAATATCGAGTGTGTTACGTATGACTATAGTGATCCAGACCCATAATGTAGGTGTCTTGAAATGTACGTTGTCT